AACGGCACTATCCCCACCCCCAGGACCACAGCCGAGGTCATAGCTGTTCATAACTTCAAAGACCTGGGAAGAAGAAGCAGGAATCCTGGAGCCAAGCGTGGCTGAGGGGCAGGACTGAGCACTCGCACAGGTGAGAGGGCAGCGTGTGGACGGATAGGAAAGGGTGCAGAGCAAGGAGACAGACACGCAGGGCCAAGTGGGGAAGAGGCTGTGGGGAGCCTCAGGGGGATCCAGGAGCTGCACCCAGGGCTCAGGGCAGCAGGGATGAGCTGTGGAGGGGTGGGAGGCTGGGGAGAGAGTGTGGACAAACCTTGCCCATGTTGAGGGGCTTGTGGGCCTTGCTGCCCACAGCGTACAGAGCTGTGTCCAAGGCCCCCAGCGCCACCAGGGCTGGGGAATCAGTTTGTAAGCGGAGCTTCATGGACTCCCCATTCCGGTACTCCTTGGCACCGTCCACGCTGAGCTCCAGCTGGCAGAGGCGGGAGGTGGGGGTGGTCAGAGTGGGACAGCTTCCTTCAGTCCTGGCATCCTCACTGCCCCCCTGCTAGCAATCACCCTGTCCTTAACCCCTCAGCACACGTGCCATCTCTCCTGACCCCGGTCACCTTGCCCTCGCAGGCCCCAGCCTGGACATCCACTCGCAGGGAGTTGGCCACTGGGTGGTCTCCATGGTAGTAGAAGGCCACAAAGTAGAAGGAGGGTGCCAGGTGATGGTCCACAAACACAGAGACTGAGGTCAGGTGCCTCCTGGGCTCTTGCTTCATTAACACGATCTGCCCCCGGGATAGGATCTGGGCAAGAAGGGGAGGGATGAGAGTGACTGCCTCTTCATGGGACAGCCCCAGCCTCGAACCCCCCAGCCCCACCCAGAAGGCCCTTCCTTGCACCCCAGCCCTCTTTGACTCCCCGGCTCATGCACACCATGTAGTAGTAATGAGAAAAGGTGGCCCCACTGCCCACAGCTCGAAGGTTCAGGTTCAGATTGTCCCCAATACGAGGAGGTCGAGGATCCGGCCGCTCAATAGACAGAAACCCAGGGCCTCCTGAAGGTGGGGCTGCCACAGTGAGCCTGGCTATGGCTGGATAGGGGGAGCCTGCAGATACCTGGAGAGGGAGGCAGGTGCAAGTAGGGTAGTAGCTCAGAGCCAGGTACCCCACCCTCCCCCCAAGTCGGGCCATGGATACGCAGGACTCCGGCTCACCCTCGTCCCCTTCCCCCACCATCTCCTAGGAGTCCGAGGAGTCCTACCGAGAGCTGCAGTGCTGAGACAGCCTGAGGGATGCTGATGGGAATGCTGACTTGGCCGCTCCCATCTGTGTTTTGTTGGATGTCCTGGATGTTAGAACCAGACCCAGGAGAAGACACCGTGGCAGAAACTTTGACCGGAATGCCAGAAGCTGGGGAGCCTGACATATCACGGACCAAGGCCTAGGCAAGAAAAGGAGGGCAGGTGAAAGAGAGTGGTCAGAACCTGAGCCCTCCTGACTACCACACCCCCCCACCATTTGTCCTTCCCCTCTGGAAGAAACCTGCAGCAGGAAAGGGGACCCAGGCACGAGGTGTCGCTTGGTCTTGCTAAGATCCAAAGAGAAGGGGGATGATACAAAGCGCCAGGATGTGAGCTCTGCCTCCTCCATCTCCCCACCTGCAAGATAAAGGACAGAGAGGCGGAGGACAGAGCCCAAGAAGAGAGGGACAGGAGGACAAGTGGGAGTAGCTTGACCATTTCCCTCCCACAGGACAGTGAGCTCCCAGGGCACAGGCTGCCGTCTTCCTGTCTCTGCAATCTGGGCCCAGCGCAGGACAGTGAACAATACATGTGCACTGGAGGAGTGAACAAATGAGCAGAATGAGCAAACAAATAGACTGAGCCAGGCAAACGGGCTGAGTCACAGAGACAGAGTTGGAGAGAGGACCAGGGTTCCTGGGTGTTTCCTGGTTTTGAGTCTGAGATGAGGTGGGAGAAGTGGGGTAGTATTGGTGCTGGAGGTCAGCTCAGAGGTCAGAGGCATGGGTCTGGGGTTACAATCAGGGTAAGTCACCCACCTGGAGACTCAATGATGGCTGCAGCAACATAGAGACACAGCCCCTGAAGGTCAGTAATGCTCATATTTAGCTTCTCCAGGGCATCCTGGAACTCTGCCTTTGAGAGGGAAATGTGGCTCTGTCCATTCACCAGCTGGGGCACAGAAAGAAACAGAGCATAGGGTGAGACTAGGTCTCCCACCTCACCTGCCTTGCCCCTTCCCCTCCCCAACCCCTATCCTTCTTCCTACCTTGGTCTGACTCTCCAGCCCCCGAAGGAAAGTCTTCTTACCATCCTCATCCAGGAGCCCAAAGCGCACATATGCCACCCCCTGCACTGGCTTCCCATAGATGTACCTGTCATGGCAGGGAGAAGAGGGTGGGCCAAGGGCTGGGGGAAATGATGGCCTGAGGGCAGGGAAGCAGGTGCCCATTCATACTGAGTAGGGAGCAGAACCCTGTGCTGGTGGGCAGAGTGGGGGAGGGAGGTATTACCTGGCCTGGATGTCTAACTGGATTTCATCAAGATGGTCTGGCACCGTCAGGATGTAGGGCTTTCCAGGGGTGATCTTCACCTCAAAGTTGGGAAGGACTGACCCAGGGTGAAGAGGTAGGCAGGTCAGACTCCAGTTCAAAGACTCTCCTCTGCTCAGGGCTGTGGCATATCTCCCTGCCCTGAGCTTCTCCCACTACCTCTCCTTCCACCCTTATTTCCTTCAGGAAAGCAGCTGCCTGTCCCTCAAGTTTCCAGCTCTCACCATATTTCTTCACCTCAAATTGGGTGCTGCTGTTGGAGTTCAGGCTATCTGAGAATCGGGCTGAGATCTTCCAGGTCCCTGGCCTGAGAATGGACAAGAAAGGGACTCAGCCCGCCTGTGCAGTGGGGCATGGAGAGCCAATGGCCTGCTTCCCTGGGAAGAGGACTGTGGGGGTTAACCAGAGGCTCAGGAGGCTGAGGGCCCGGGCATCTCGGGATGTGGCTCTGCTGGGAGGCAGAGAGCCTAACAGAAATTGGGGTGGTATAGCTTGGGGACAGCCCCCAGATTGGGGGAGCTCACTGTGAGATGTCCGGGATCACGAAGTCATCCTGGAAGATGGATGACGGCAAGTACACCTCCTTCTTCCGCACACGGAGACCGTGAGAGTTCTGCAAGGGGAGAAGTGGTCACAGACGGGAGGTCACATCAGTGGCCAGGGTCAGAAGGCCAGAGGTCAGAGACTCACCTCCACTGTGACTGTGATGGCGTCAGTGCTCGGGCGCATCTTTTGATCCAGAGCAAAGACCCGGTACCGAACTGGAAGTGGAGGACGAGAGAGGTGAGCAGGGTTCCATGTGCAAGGGGAGGTGGGTCCAACTCCACGGAGGAAGCGGGGGACAAATATTTCCTAAGCAGCCCTACATGTGGCACTGTCTTTCATGTTATCTCACTTAGGGAGCACCAAACAGGTCCTGAGAGAGCTTGGAGGGGGGTTAAAGTTTGAGGCCCTGGAGCTGAGACTCACCCCGCTGGCCAGGGTTGTAAATGGGCTGGTCTGTCTGCAAAAAGAGGTGCCCCCGTCGAGAAGAGAAGAGCAGGTTGACACCCTGGGTGCTTGTCTGTTTGGACAAGGAGTCCTTTAGCCATGGTGACTGGGCCACCAGCTGGACCTCAGGGCCTCTGAGGAGTTGATGAAGGCCACAGCTCTTCACGTCTTTCCTGGGCACCTGTCAGGAGAGGGAAAGGGAGTGGATCACAGAGTGAGAAAGAGCTGGTGGAGAAGGACAGAGACCAAAGGAGAAATACGGAAGGAGAATGCCAGGGTGGGAACACAGGAGGGGAAGAAGCCAGTGGGAAGATGAACACACTCACAAGACAGAGGGGAACAGGGTGGGAGGTCCCCAGAAGCAGCAGGAGGGTGAGGGGTTCAGTTACCTGGAGACTGAGGAGTGCGACGTTTTTTTCTGAGGTAAGGGTAAAGTCCACCTTTGGGGAGCAGGGGGCATTATTGTAAGATGGGTTTCTCAGAAACACTGATCCTGTCACTACCTGTCCTCGGGGCACATCCTGGAGTTGCACCCCCACTGATAGGGGGACCCCCAGATGAACCACAGAAGGAGAGAACAGGAGCAACCTGGAGAGAACAGACAGGATCAGCAGTCAGACTTCACTCTAACCACTCCACCCCTGCTCTCCCTCACTACTGAATCGGGTCCCATTGACAGCCCTGCCCCAAGCCAAGCACCCAGCATCCCGCCTCCAGGACCTGGGCTTCTGAAGAGATAAGGTGAAGAAGCTGGATGCCCAGATCAGCCTCCAGAGGAGCCTCATGGCTGGAGGATCCAAGAGGGGTTAGATCCGTCTGTCTGTCTGCTACCTTCTGGCCAAGCTAGGGCTTGGGACAGAGTTAACCCTGGACCTTGCTCCTCCCCTGGCCCAGCTAAGCTGGGAAACCACGTGACAGCCAAGAAATGCAACTGGCTTCAGGCCCAGTGTTGTGGGGGCGCCCCGGACACCTGGGTCTCCCAGAGAATCTCTGAGAGAATCTTGGCCCAGAAATCACCCTGTCCTTTCCTGTTAACCCCTCTCATTCCAGTGCCTGTGCACCTCCCGCTACCAGGTATATCTGTATCAGGGTATAAGGTGCACACAATCTCATGTTACATGGGCATACAAGGGCCCAACATGGCTCACAAGCACAGAATTTTTAAAGGCCCTCACAAAACGACAGGCTTCTAAGACACTTGTCTCTTCCTTTCCTTCCAACACAAACTGAACTATACTAGGCTTTTGCTTTTTGTAGGCCCTAACAGAAATTCTGTGGTTTAGATTAGGTGCACGCTCCCTACTCCACAGGGAGAATGGCCTGAATGTCAAAGTGAACCCCTAACCCCTTTCCTCTCTGAACAACAAGGCAAAACTGAGACTTCACCTGTACCCCTAAGCAAGGCACGCAAACACACACGTCACAGAGAATAAAGGGCATGCAGAAACTATCACAGCAGAGGTACTTTATTTGGCAATTTTAGCATGACATGTAGGGAAAAGAACCCTGCCCTCCTTCACCTCCCCAGAAATCCCAACTTTCTATTTCAAGACAGAGTAATAACAGCACCATTTTACATGAAAGGGAACAGCCACAGCCTCGGCACCATTTCTGGTTCCGCTTTCCATGGAAGGGCAGAGAAGCATTGCTCAAGCCCCACCACTGGGTCGGAGCCCAGGCAAACAGCAGCAGTCACATCTGACCCTTTACACAGACAAGAGCCCAACATTCATCCTGGCTCCCAAGCCTTCCCAAGGTGACCCTGTCTCAGCCACCATCATGCAGCTCTTCCAGTCCCCTCCCGGCCCACTCTGAGGAGCTGAGCAGTGATAAGCAGAATCTTCATGTCTCTGGCAGGCGGAGGAGGGTTCCAGAAGTGGTAGAAATGCTGTGCAAGAGAAAGACAAGGCTGGAGCCAGGTGCCTAGGCCCAAGTTGACAGGGGAACATAGCACTTGGGAAGGGATGCTCCCGGGTTCCAGAGAGCCACTGGCCTTTACTAGGGAATTAAGGGTGAGCTGGGAGGAAATCCAACCTTGGGTCATTGCTCTGTCATCTGCCAGAGGCCAGAGAAAGACTCACCAGTCCACTAGCTGGGCCCCAATGAGGTCGTGCACATGGTAGGTGAGGCCAAGCCGCACCATGGCAGGCGTGCGCCGGCCCAGGAGCTCTGATAGGAGCAGCTCCCGGTACTTGGCCTTCCGGACCATGCCGAGGACAGCCTGGCGCCCTGGAGGAGAAGTAGCACAGGAGAGGGGAAAGGTGAGTAAGGCCTAGAGGCCTGAGGAGCTACCAAAAGGTAAGGGGCTACAGGCTTCAGCTGCAGATGGGTTACCTTTAACAAAGTACTTGATGAATCTCCCAGCTCCAGGCACAGCTAGCCACCAGCTCCCAGCATCTCGGACGGTGAGGACTCCAGCATTCACCAGATGCCTGAGGGCAGTGGGAAGCCAGCAGAGATGAGACCTGGGCTCTGAGAACCATCTCTCCTCCTCATCCATTAATGTTTACACAAGTCTCCAGAAACATGGGCAACCATACAAGAGAGACTGGAGAACAAAACCCCGACCTGAGGCGGTTCTCTGCTCACAGCAGCTGCCTCAGTGGTGCAGTTGCTTGTTCCGGGCCCCTGGCCTGGACTGCCCTCCCTCCATTCTTTCTTTTCCTGTTGCTATTACTTGTTCATTTAAATAGCTTCTCTTCCCTGAGCACATGTCCTGACACACACTCAGTCTTAGGACCGAGGAGAGAAATCAAGGTCTTCCACGCTGTGCTCCTGCCACCGCCTCCCGGCCCACAGTAAAGTCCCGGGAGGGGACTGGCGGCAGAGAATGCCATGGCTCCCACCACATCTCCCTGAGAGTGTGTCTTCCCATGTGAGACCAGTGCTACAGTTCTTCAAATGCTTCCACTTATTCTATGGGTTACAACGTAGGAGGCCTGAGACAGATACAGCCTCTGAAAATGATTTTATTTAGCTCCTGCCCAGTTGTTTCTTAGCTTTGGGGGTTTTATGTTTTAATGTGAATGTTTAGGGGTATCCCAACTCCTACCATTCACTATCCTCTTAGTCCCAGTATGATTTACCTCAAGTGTTCATGGTTCCTGCCAGGCCCCTGTGTGCTTTTGATAAGCCACCCAGAACTGAACTCTATTCCAGGGCTCTTTCTAAGGCCCCAGGTGAGACAGGCCTCCTCTCTTGTAGGGAGGAATACAAACTTGGGCCATTTTATTAAAAAGAAGAATCAGCTTTTTGACAGCTTTTTTGGCAGGTTCATCAAGAAAACACAGGACAGGCTGGATGAACTGGAGGGAGGCAGGGAGGCGCCAGATGCCTGACTTTGTTGGTTCCACAAGTCTCACGTGATTTCTGAGTCCCTGAAGCCAAAGGTCTGTGTCATTTGGTCCTGCTGGAAACTAAGGTCCCCACAGGCCGGAAGTACTGAAGCTAGAAATTTCTGCACTGCCCCAGCATACGGTCGGCCATCACAGGCCTTGAGGACCTAGAAGCAGAGATGAGAGACATGGTCCGTCGCCACCCTCACTCTCTACCAACCTCCACCCCCAAGATAGCATTTCTCTTCCTGCCTTCCCTCTTACTCAGACCTTCCACCTCTCATACCTTTCTTCCTCCTCTTCCTCCTACTCCTTCTTCTCCTCCCCCTCCTCTCCCATCTCCCTCCCCACTCTTCCCTCTCTCACTCCTCCCTCTCTCACTCCTCCCTCTTTCCCTCCTGTCTCTCTCCCTCACTACTTACCAGGGCCCTGTGCCCTCTCCATGGGATGTGGGGGCAGGGAAATTCTTTCTTTTGTTTTTATTTCTGTTTCCCAACTTCCCTGTCTCCCCCAACCCGGGCCCTGCCCCTGGCATCCCTGACACACACAGTCACATACTCTGGTCCTGTAGTCCTCAGTGAAGATAATTCCATGGGCATCCAAGTCGAAGCCCAGCTGGACGATTCTGATCTCCCCCTGCTCTTGAAGCTCCTTCTGTCTCCATAGAGAAGGAAGTAAAAAGAGGGGTGTCAGGGTAAGATGCTCTGCTATACTCTGGACACTCTCAGGCAGGGAAATTTTGTCTGCCAATATTGGGGCATTTTCTCTTAGTAAAGGAAAAACTGTGTGGGAAGGTAATCAGGCAAATGACCAAGTTGCCTTTTCCAACTAGCTACCCACCCTCTCATTCACCTGCCTTATCAATGGTCTGTTAAACAGTCAATATAATTTTCTAAGACCAGGCACTAAGATAAAATAGTGATTAAAACGCAGGCTCTGACTTCAAAACATTAGCAATCTAAATCCTGGGTGGGATAAGGTGGGGAGGAGTATGGGATTCAATGTTTAAAATAAATAAAAATAAACGAGGACTTCTGTTTACCAGAATATAGTAAGAACTAATCCACCTGTTGAAAATTAACTAAAATGTTGGATAAAATGTTATTTAAAAATGTTTAAGACCAGGCACGGTGGCTCATGCGTGTAATCCAGCATTTTGGGAGGCTTCGGTAGCAGGATCAATTGAGGACAGGAGTTCTAGACCAGTCTGGGCAACACAGTGAGACCCCCATCTCTATAAAAAATGTAAAAATGTAGCCAGGTGTGGTGGCACAGACCTGTAGTCTTAGCTACTTGGGAGACTGAGGCAAGAGGATCAGTTGACCCAGGCTGTAGTAAGTTATGATGGCACCTGGGCAACAGAGACCCTGTCTCTTAAAGAAAAATTGTTTGGACACTAAAGAGCTCACAAGATAACAGGAATTATCACTAATACAACATCTACATAGGCCAGATATGGTGGCTCACGCCTGTAATCCCAGCACTTTGGGAGGCTGAGGTGGGTAGTCACCTCAGGTCAGGAGTTCACAATCAACCTGACCAATATGGGAAAACCCTGCCTCTACTAAAAATTCAAATATGAGCCAGACGTGGTGGTGTGCACCTATAGGCCCAGCTACTTGAGAGGCTAAGACAGGAGAATTGCTTGAACCCGGAAAGTTGCTGTGAGCCGAGATCATGCCACTACACTCCAGCCTGGGTGACAGAGTGAAACTCCATCTCAACAATAACAACAACAACAAAAGTAACTGGGGCCAGGCACAGTGGCTCGTGCCTGTAATCCCAGAACTTTGGGAGGCCACGAAGGGTGGATCACTTGAGGTCAAAAGTTCAAGACCAGCCTAGCTAACATGATGAAACCCAGTCTCTATCAAAACTACAAAAATTAGCCTGGCCAACATGGTGAAACTCTGTCTCTATTAAAATACAAAAAAACTAGCTGGGCATGGTGGTGGGCACCTGTAGTCCCAGCTACTCAGGAAGCTGAGGCAGGAGAGTCATTGGAACCTGGGAGATGGAAGTTGCAGTGGGCCAATGTCGCATCATTGAACTCCAGCCTAGGTGACAAGAGGGAAACTCCATCTCACAAAAAACAAAAACAAACCAACAAACAAATATAAAAATTAGCCAGGCATGGTGGCAGGTGCCTGTAATCCCAGCTACCCAGGAGGCTGAGGCAGGAGAATCACTTGAACTCAGGAGGTGGAGGTTGCAGTAAGCCAAGATCATGCCGCTGTATTCCATCTTGGGTGACAGCGTGAGATCTTGTCTCAAAAAAAAAGGAATTGGAACATGAAGGGCATTTATCAATAAAGGCAAATCTGCCCAGAACATTTTCAAAAATAACTGGGTGCACAAGGAAACAAAACCCAAAGAGACAATAAAAACAAACCCCAAAAGACAAGCAATAGTGGAATTATCAAAACGACTATTTAAAAAAAAAGACCAGCACTCTGGGAGGCCAAGGCAGATGGACCATTTCAGGCCAGGAGTTCAAGACCAGCTGGCTAACATGGTAAAAACCCATCCCTATTAAAAATACAAAATTAGCCAGGTGTGATGGTACATGCCTGTAATCCCAGCTACTCAGGAGGCTGAGGCAGGAGAATTGCTTGAACCCAGGAAGCAGAGGTTACAGTGAGCCAAGATCATGCCATTGTATCTCAAAAAAAAAAAGTAAAACTATGCCCATAATGTAAAAGGCAAGATGGAAAAATCTTAGAAGGGTCTGGTGAGGTGGCTCACACCTGTAATCCCAGTACTCTGGGAGGCCAAGATAGGTGTATCACGAGGTCAGGAGTTCAAGACCAGTCTGGCCAAGATGGTGAAAACCCATCTCTACCAAAAATACAAAAATTAGCCAGGCAGGGCAGTGTGTGCCTGTAATCTTAGCTACTCAGGAAGCTGAGGCAGGAGAATCGCTTGAACCTGGGAGGTAGAGGTTGCAGTGAGCCAAGATCATGCCACTGCACTCCAGCCTGAGTGGCAGAGCAAGACTCTGTCAAAAAAAAAAAAAAAAAGATATTTAAAAATGATTAATAATGAAAATATAGGTCAGGCGTGGTAGCTCATGCCTGTAATCCCACGGTGGTTTATGCCTATAATCCCAGCACTTTGGGAGGCCCCAAGTGGATCACCTGATGTCAGGAGTTCAAGACCAGCCTGGCCAACATGGTGAAACCCTGTCTCTACTAAAAATACAAAAATTAGCTAGCTGTGGTGGCGCATGCCTGTAGTCCCAGCTACTCAGGATGCTGAGGCAGGAGAATCACTTGAACCTGGGAGGCAGAGGTTGCAGTCAGCCAAGACTGCATCACTGCACTGCAGCCTGGACAACAGAGCCAGACTCCATATCAATAATAATAATAACAATAACAATGAAAATATATACCAAAATTTGTGTGTGAGAGAGAGATACATATATAACTACTTAGAAGGGAAACTACAGCCTTACATGCATATACTAAAAAAGAAGGGATGAAAATTAATAGGAAAAATAAAGTAAAATAAACCCCAAAGGAGAAAAAGCAGAAAAACATGCAAAGAAAGCAACAAAGCCAAAGGTTGATTCTTTAAAAGAATAAGCCACTCACTGGTGAAACTGACAAGAGAAAGGATAGGAGGAACCAGAAAAAGCACAGATAGCCAACAGAAAGAATGAAGAATGCTGGGTGCAGTGGCTCATGCCTGTAATCCTGGCACTTTGGGAGACAGGAGCAGGAGGATCACTTAAGGCCAAAAGTTCAAGGCCAGCCAGGGCAACATAGTGGGATTTCATCTCTAAACAAACAAACAGACAAAAAGTTAGCCAGGCATGGTGGCATATGCCTATAGTCCTAGCTTCCTAGCTACTGAGGAGGCTGAGGTGGGAGGATTGCTAGAACCCAGAAGCTCAAGGCTGCAGTGAGCATGACTGTACCACTACACTCCAGCCTGAATAACATAGCAAGACCCTATCTCTTAAAAAAAAAAAAAGGAAAGAAAGAAAAATGGGTCATCACTACAGATCCAACAGATAACACAATTACAAACTTTATGCCAATAAACTTAAAAATTTTTAATGAAATTGACAAATTCCCTGAAAAACAGAATTTGTTTCACTAACATGGAAAATTGGGATATATTCATAAACTGAAAATCTATGAAAATCAATTAACTATACCTACATATAACTTGGAAAAATCTCAAAAATATTCAATTTACAAACATATAAATAAATACAGTATTTTAGTCTATTCCTGCTGCTGTGACAAAATGAGTTTGGGTACTTTATAAAGAAAATAAATTTCTCTCTCACAGTTCTGAAGACTGGAAGTCCAAGATCAAGGCACCAGTAGTTTCAGTGCCTACTGAGAACCCAGTCTCTGCTTCTAAGATGTCTTTTTATTGCGTCCTCTGAAGAGGATGAACACTGTATCCTCATATGATGGAAGGAACAGGCAGCTCTCTGAAGCCTCTTTTACTACTTTCGGTTTTTTTTGGAGACAGTCTTGCTCTGTAGCCCAGGCTGGAGTGCAGTGGTGTAATCTCAGTTTACTGCAACCTCTGCCTCCCAGGTTCAAGTGATTCTCCTGCCTCAGCATCCTGAGTACCTGGGATTACAGATGCATGCCATCACAACTGGCTGATTTTTGTATTTTTAGTAGAGACAGAGTTTCACCATGTTGGCCAGGCTGGTCTCAAACTCCTGACCTCAGGTGACCTGCCCACCTCAGCCTCCCAAAGTGCTGGGATTACAGGCATGAGCCACCATGCCTGGCTTTATTTATTTATTTGAGATGGAGTCCCACTCTGTTGCCCAGGCTGTAATGCAGTGGTACCATCTCAGCTGATGGCCACCTCCGTCTCCCAGGTTCAAGCGATTCTCGTCTCAGCCTCCTGAGTAGCTGGAATTATAGGCGCCCACCACCACGTCTGGCTAATTTTTGTATTTTTGGTAGAGACAAGGTTTCACCATATTGGCCAGGCTGGTCTTGAACTCCTGGCCTCAGGTGATCCACCTGCCTCAGCCTCCCAAACTACTGGGATTACAGACGGAAGCCACCTCACCCAGCCTGACGCCTCTTTTGTAAGGGCATTAATCCATTCACAAGGGCAGAGCCTTCATCACTTAATCACTTCACATAGGCCTCACCTCTTAATACTATCACATTGCATATTAGATTCCAACAGATGAATTCTGGAGGGACACACATCCAAACCATGGCATTCTGTCCTTGGTGCCCCCAAATTTATTTCCTTCTCACATGCAAAATACATTCATACCATCCTAATAGCTCCCAAAGTCTTAACTTGTTCCAGCACCTCTTCAAAAGTCTGAAGCCCTGAGTCCACTCTAAATATCATCTAAATCAGATATGTGACACTCAAAGATATATTTCATCCTGAGACAAACTGCTCTCCAGCTGTGCACCTGGAAAATCAAACAAGTTATGTGCTTCTAAAATTCATATGTTGGGGCCAGGCACGGTGGCTCATGCCTATAATCCTAGAACTTTGGGATGCTGAGGTGGGAGGATCACCTGAGTCTGGGAGGTCAATGCTGCAGTGAGCTGAGTGCACCACTGCACTCCAGCCTCCAGACAGTGAGAGATCCTGCCTCAAAAAAAAAAAAAAAAAAAAAAATGGGGCCTTGGGGAGGTGATTAGGCCATGGGAGCTGTACTCTCTTGAACAGTCGTTATAAAAGAGGCTTCAGGCTGGGCACAGTGACTCATGCCTGTAATCACAACACTTTGGGAGGCCAAGGAGGACGGATCACCTGAGGTCAGAAGTTCGAGACTAGCCTGGCCAGCATGGCAAAACCCCATCTCTACTGAAAATACAAAAATTAGACAGGCATGGTGGCAGGAACGTGCAATGCCAGCTACTGAGAATCGCTTGAACCCAGGAGGCAGAGGTTGCAGTGAGCCAAGGTTGTGGCATTGCACTCCAGCCTGGGCGAGAGAGCAAGACTCTGTCTAAAAAAAAAAGCTTCGGGGACTGCCTGGCCTTTCTCTCTCTTCTGCCATGTGAGGACATAGCAACACAGTAACATTTTGGAAGCAAAGAGCCAGTCTTCACCAAACACTGAATCTACTGGTGTCTGATCTTGGGTTTTCCAGCCTTTAAAATATGAAATAAATTGTTGTTTATAAATTACTCAATCTCAGAAATTTTGTTATAGCAGCATGAATGGAGTGTAAGACATACAGTATGATTTCATTTATGTGAAGTTTAAAAATGGGTAAAATTAAGCCATGTTGTTTACACACATAAGTGGTATAAAGAAAACCAAGGGGGCTGGGCACTGTGGCTCATGCCTGTAATCCCACCACTTTGGGAGGCCAAGATGGCCAGGAGTTCAAGATGAGCCTGGCCAGCAATGATGAAACCCCACCTCTACTAAAAATACAAAAATTAGCCAGGTATGCATTTGTAGTCCCAGCTTCTTGGGAGGCTGAGACAGAAGAATCACTTGAACCCGGAAGGGGGAGATTGAAGTGAGCTGAGATCACACCACTGGACTCCAGCCTGGGTGACAGGGCGAGAATCCATCTCAAAAAACAAAAGAGAATGAGAACTAAGGGAACAATTACCATAGCAGTCATCTCCCAGGAACATTCTGATCAGAGATGTTTTGATCAGAGAATATACATGTGATACTGGCCATGTTCTATAATTTGACCTAGGCAGTGGCTAGATGGGTATCTGCTTTATAAACATTATTTAAATTACGTATGTTTGTATTTTCATTCTGCAATTTTCAAAGGTTTTTAAAAATAAAAGCTAACACCAATACATTAAAAACAAATACTCTTTAAGGAGTGGTTCCATCTAGCATGCTTCCTAAAACGAGCCTTAGTGAGGAAGCCTAGCTCTCTCTTCCTTTTCTTCCCTCTTTTCTTGACAGATCACTATTAAACTTCTACCTGCTAAATGCAGATTTCAGTTCGGGGTTTTTTTGTTGTTGTTTTCATTTTTTTTTCTTTTTCTTTTCTTTCTTTCTTTTTTCTTTTATTCTTGTTTTTTTATCTTTTTTTTTTTTTTTTTTTTGAGATGGAGTTTTGCTCTTGTTGCCCAGGCTGGATTGCAATGGTGTGATCTCAGCTCACCGCAACCTCCACCTTCCTAGTTCAAGGGATTCTCCTGCCTCAGCCTCCTGAGTAGCTGTGATTACAGGTATGCACCACCACACCCAGCTAATTTGTATTTTTAGTACAAATTACAACATGGTTTCTCCATGTTGGTCAGGCTAGTCTCAAACTCCTGACCTCAAGTGATCTGCCTACCTTGGCCTCCCAAAGTGCTGGGATTACAGGCATGAGCCATCATGCCCAGCCTCATTTTCATTTTTTTAGAGACAGGGTCTTACTCTGTCACCCAGGCTGGAGTGCAGTCATGCATCATAGCTCACTGCAGCCTCAAACTCCTGGGCTCAAGCAATCCTTCTGCCTCAACTTCCCAAATAGCTAGAATTACAGGTGCACACTACCATGCTCAGCTAAGAATTTTTGTGTTTTATTTTATTTATTTAATAGAGATGGGGGGGTCTCACTTTGTTGCTCAGGCTGGTCTCAAACTTTTGGTTTCAAGCTATCCTCCTGCCTCAGCCTCCCAAAGTGATGGGATTACAGGTATGAGCCACCACACTCAGCTTAGATTTCAGTTTACGTTTTACTTTACCTCTTCCCTCTTCTTAGACATGGGGCACTGGCTTGAATCACAGGTTGTAATACTGCCAACTACTTCACTTTCTCAAAATTTTCTTTACTTTCACAATAGTCCTCTTCCTGGGTTACTTTTTTTTTTTTTTTTTTGAGACAAGGTCTAGCTCTGTCACCCGGGCTGGGGTGCAGTGGTACTATCTCAGCTCACTACAACATCCGCCTCCCCAGCTCAAGCAGTACTCCCACCTCAGGCTCCCCAGTAGTTCTACAGGCATGTAACACCATGCCTGGCTAATTTTTGTATTTTTTGTAGAGATGGGGTTTTGTCATGTTGCCCATGCTGGTCTTGAATTCATGAACTCAAAAGATTCACCTAGGCATCCCAAAGTGCTGGGATTACAGGTGTGAGCCACTGTGCCAGCCTCTGGGTTCCTCTTAACTTAGGCAATTTTCTCTGCCTCTGTCATATATTCCTCTTCTTCTGCTTTCCCTTTTCATCAGTGGATCTCAAATTTTAAGGCACACTTAAAAAGTCCTTGAGACAGTTCAAAAATGTAGATTCCCAAATCTACCAAGAGATCGTAATTCATTAACCTTGGATGAGTCCCAGGAACCTATATGCTTTTAATAAGCAACCCATGTAATTTTAACACAGGCAATAACTGAGGTCATACATTCAGTAACACTGCCTTAAATGATAGTGTTTCCGAGGATTATGGATTTGACCCTATTATCTTCCACTCTAAATCTGGAGTCCTTAACCACAGACCTTGGAGGATTAGTGAAATATATCTCCCTTAACTGTACATATACTCTGTGTATATGTGACATGCATGCATTTTTCTGAAGAGATAGCCACAGCTTTTATCACCTTTTAACGCTTATATAAAGGTTAGAAATCACTCCTCTACCCACGCTTCCTACTGAATCTCACCCACATACACAGAATTAACCACTTGCTATTCACACCTCCATGACTTGTTCTACATCACTGGCCCAGAATTCTCTCCAACTCTCATATCTAACTGCCTAATAATTTTTGTCTTTGGAGGCTCCACATGCACCATCAACTCAACTTGTACAAAATTAAACACATCATCTGCACTCCAACAACTAAATGTGCTCCTAATATCACCAGACACACAGTCATCTGGAAAGTCTGAGTTGTCCTCGACTCCTCCCTCTTCCTCACTCTCCTCTCCCTCCCTGCTGCACTGACCTAGTTTAGGCCTTCACTTCTCAAATGCAGTATCTTCTTAGCTGACCCCTCTGCCTCATCCACTAACTCCAATACACCATTCCCTCTCCTCTATGACATTCTCTACAAGCTCATCGCCTCAGTGTAAGATGGAAACCACACTGATGTACAAGGCCTGTCGAACTGCACTCCTAAGGGGAAACCATGCCCCATGACTCGGTTTCCCCAAAACCCTCGTTCTTCTACCTCCCAGATTTGAAATGCCCTGTACTCTCTGCGGGCCTTTTAACAGGGTCTGTAGCGTTCTCTGTGGCACCCCAGTGCCTGGCACAGTTCCCTCCCCTGAAAGGCCTAAAGCTTGCTGAACGGCTGACGGAGTGATTGAGTGACAGGAAAATTTAGGAGTTAGGAAAGGGGCCTCCGGCCGTCGCACCGATGCCCCTCACCAGCTGCCGGTCGGCCACGGTCCTGTCAGGCACTAGGCTGTACACCTGGCTTCTCAGCACGATGGGCGGCAGCGCGTCCTCAAACAGGCCTCGCGGGAACAGCTGCATGAGCTCTGAGACAGCCGCGCGCGCCGACCCTGGGCAGAGAAACCGGGTCACTGACAGGGAACTGGGGCAGGGACGCTGTTCTCACAAAACTCTCGGCCACCGGAAGCGAGGCCCCGCCCAGCTGGGGTCTTTAGCCCCGCCCCGGGGTTGCCATGGTTACCTCGCTCTCCCCGCAGAGGATCCGATTCCACAGGCCCTCGTTTCTGCCGCCTCTTAAGTCCACTGGTCTCCGAGACCAGGCGATGCCTCTTCCGGCTCATATCCCGGGATTTTATGATACCGGGGAAGAGGTAGAGGTAGAGGGAAGATAACCGGATAATAGGGTCTTCCGGCGCAGAGCAGTGACGTACGGCTTCCCCGGGCGTCCCTTCCAGTAGACCAGGTGACACAGCGTATGTACCAAGACGTGATGACGAAAGGGGCGTCAACTTGTCACCCCTCAGGCCCGTGCTGGAAGGGGCCCTTGCCGACGCAGATACCAGCATCACCTCCGCCGGGCCGGGCCCCACGCCTACAGCGGATTGGGTCCCTCCAAGAGCACGCACTCCCTGGGACTCGTGTGCGGCGTGGAGGGGCGCCGGTGACCACGTTAGGATCAACCTCTTGAGGGAAGCTCATACCTCCCCCGCCCCGCCAAGGGTTTACCCGCCTGTCGCTGAATGATTGCATCATCGAAAGCAGAAAAACCACTTTTGCATCCTTCGGCCTCTGTGACGTCAGAGCTCTACAGAGGTGCAAGTTGCGCGGGCATTGAGGTAACCAAATTCTTGATCTGAGCGCAGACGTCCTTCCTAACCTCACTGCAGGAGAACCTGAAGGGAGGGTGGGTAAAGGACAAGGAAAGAGGCAGGATGAGAGCTTGGCCTAGGTGCCGTCTGGGAGGCCTGCATGTTTCACGGCCGGAGCCTTGCGATCAGGTGGTTCGCTTAGTCCTAAACCACATTCACCCTTCTCCAGGCCTCCTCTGTAAAATGGAAATTCTTTCCCCCTGCCTCCCGTAGGACTTCATGGAGCCCAGGGGGACCAAGAGAGAAGTTGGGAAGACAGAGGTAGCTGAGCCTCGGAACAAACTACCCCGTCCAGCACCTTCTCTGCCAACAGACCCTGCCCTCTACTCTGGGCCCTTTCCTTTCTACCGGCGCCCTTCGGAACTGGGCTGCTTCTCCCTGGATGCTCAACGCCAGTACCATGGAGATGCCCGAGCCCTACGCTACTACAGCCCACCCCCCACCAATGGTCCAGGCCCCAACTTTGACCTCAGAGACGGATACCCGGATCGATACCAGCCCCGGGACGAGGAGGTCCAAGAAAGGCTGGACCACCTGCTGTGCTGGCTTCTGGAACACCGAGGCCAGTTGGAGGGGTGAGCAAAGCATAGCGGGCAGTAGATCTGGAGACATGCACCTACCCTCTAAAATTAGGAGCCAAAGCTGGGGTGAGAATGACTCCTTAGAAAAAAACAGGCTATTCTTGGGAGGGAGCATCTCACTAATGCTTGAGTCAGACCGTCAGACTGTAACTCTCTCTCAGGGGTCCAGGCTGGCTGGCAGGGGCCATAGTGACTTGGCGGGGGCACCTGACAAAATTGCTGACGACACCGTATGAGCAGCAGGAGGGCTGGCAGCTGGCAGCCTCCCGGTTCCAGGGAACACTATACCTGAGTGAGGTGGAGACACCGGCCGCTCGGGCTCAGAGGCTTGCTCGCCCGCTGCTCCTCCGGGAGCTTATGTACATGGGATACAAATTCGAGCAGTACATGTGTGCAGGTGAGTTGCCCCTGCTTCATAGCCCCTTTCCCCTTCCCAGAGATTGAGAGACCCCACCCTGCTGCTGCTTCTCTCCTTACGCAGACAAACCTGGAAGCTCCCCAGACCCCTCTGGGGAGGTTAACACCAACGTGGCCTTCTGCTCTGTGCTACGCAGCCGCCTGGGAAGCCACCCTCTGCTCTTCTCAGGGGAGGTAGACTGCACAGACCCCCAGGCCCCATCCACACAGCCCCCCACCTGCTATGTGGAACTCAAGACCTCCAAGGAGATGCACAGCCCTGGCCAATGGAGGAGCTTCTACAGGTTCAGGATAGGGGTCGGCAGGGCGAAAGCCTAGACTTGAAGGCTGGGAAAGGGACTTGGGGAGGAGGGTGAAGGCAGAATGGATGGTAGACAAGGGGCGCCACTGACCCCTTGCTTTTCCTGACAGACACAAGCTTCTGAAATGGTGGGCTCAGTCATTCCTCCCAGGGGTCCCGAATGTTGTTGCTGGCTTCCGTAACCCAGAAGGTTTTGTCTCTTCTCTCAAGACCTTTCCTACCATGGAGATGTTTGAATATGTTAGGGTAAGGGAATGGTGTTGTAGCTCCCATCGTATCCCCAAACACCAAGACCACAGGTCTAATGTCCAGGGCAGCAGCCTGTCTTCCCCTCCTCCTACCACCCCAACTGCCAGTCTTATGCCTCCTCTTCTGCCTGTTCCAGAATGACCGTGATGGCTGGAATCCCTCTGTGTGCATGAACTTCTGTGCTGCCTTCCTTAGCTTTGCCCAGAGCACAGTTGTCCATGATGACCCCAGGTAAGGCATTCAGCTCTGTTCCTCCCCTGTGGATCCCAGGATCCAGCCTCCAGCCCTTAATTGATGCCTCCATCTGCCCCCCAGACTTGTTCACCTCTTCTCTTGGGAGCCTGGCGGCCCAGTCACTGTGTCTGTACACCGAGATGCACCCTATGCCTTCCTGCCCATATGGTATGTGGAAGCCATGACTCAGGACCTCCCATCACCCCCCAAGACTCCCTCCCCCAAATAGTGATACTTTAGAGGGGGGCAGTGATATCTCTGTGCAGGTAATAAAGCATATTTCTAAGAGGTTCCCCAGCTATGTCTTCTTAGCTGAGTCATCCCTGCCCATCAACTCAAGTACATACAGTGCTTTACTGTTTTATCATCACATTTTTACATGGGGCATTCACTGGGTGTAAAGGCTGGCTGCAAAGACAATGTCCCGCCGTAGCAGGGTAGCCGCTGTCTCCATCTTGGCACCCAGGACAGGCTCTCCTACCAGGCGGGCAGCCCCCCGCAGTGAGCGACACATCTCTGCCAGGCGCTGAATGCAGCGGACAATGAGGCCCTCGGGAGTCCCTGAGAGCCCTGCCAACTCGGAGAAGGGCTGTGGGGAAAGCAGGGTGAGGACTGGATGTGCCCATCCTGGGCAGGCTTTCCTCAACCAGCCATCTGCAAAATCCCAAACCCCAGGAACTCACCATGCCCCGGGCCCACTCATACACAACCTCGACCAGACCAAAATTCAGCTCCCCAACAAATTCCTCCACCGTCTGGTTCAGGCCACAAGCCACCTGGACCTCACCAATCCGCTTGGCCACAGCCCGGACACGTTCTATTCCCTACAGAGATGAAGAAGAGGTTAAGGCCTACCTTCCTGCTCCAGGACAGAGAAGGACCAGATCAAGGAGGCAGCCATTCCCACCCTTGGGGCACTTACAGGGCTGGAGGGAGTCACCTGGGGGACTACCTGAGGGTAGAGGAAGGGAATGCCACAGCCCTGGCAGAGAGAAAGGGCTGGTGTCCCCTACCTGCTTGAGGGTGTTTGGGAGCTGATCCCCAGCATCCCCAGGGCTCTGGCAGACCAGGCCAGAAAGCAAGGCAGCAATCTCCTCAGGCCGCAGGGTACTTAGTGCATTGTCAAACATGAGCTCAGTGAGAAGCAACTCATGGCTGCTCATGGCACAAGCCACCCGCCCTGCCAGTTTCACGGTGCCCGCCTCATCCACGTAACCCAGGGTTCGGAGCACCTGCAAGAAAAAGGGTAGGTGTTGGACAACCTGCTGTCCCCACCTCCCCAGCCCCCCCTGCCCCAACCACTGCCCCATCCACCTCTACTCGCTGGTGGTACTCGGGAAGCAGCAGCAGTGACTGATCCGACAGTAGGAAGCGCAGCCGCTCCATCTCCTTCTGTATCTGCCTTCGCTCCCGCAGCTTTAGGTACTGCAGAGAGCCACCCATCAGCCTTCTCCTTGCCCCTTAGTAGGGGTGCACTGAGGACAAGGGCTGAGAGGGGGGTGGCTGGTCTACAGGGGACCAGAGAGAAAAAGCCCCCACTCCCAGCTTGGGAGTTAGCACCCAGGTCCTACCTGGGCAGGAAAACGGGGGCTGTGCACACACTGAGCCCCCCGGATCAGCTCCTCCAGCTTCCGGGCTCGGAGCCCACCCTCTACAACTGACATATCTTTGAGCTGCAGGTCATTGACAGGGTCGAGGGTCGGGGGTCCAGCTGGGTGGGCCTGAGCCAGACGCAGCAGTTCCTGGACAGCAGTGGTCACGGCTGCAAGGGGAGGATCCTTCCTGAAGAGGGAGCAGATCTTAAGATCTGGAGTAAGATCTTCTCTCCCACAGAAGCCCCCCTCAGGCTGTGGGAGCCTTCCTACTACAACCCCCACATCATGGTCTCCCTCAGGCTGGGGGAAACTCCCAGACCACTGCCCTACCCACTCTGCATGCCCCTCCCGAATGCTAAAGGGCCTTCTTAGCATCTGACTTGAATTTTGGCTGCTGCCTCTTGCTGAAGTCCTCCAAGATCTTCTCCCCATTCACCCGGAGCACCTTGGTGGTGATGGCAGCTACATCTCCTGGCTGAAGCTTGATCACGGTGTGGTCACAGCGCCCTGTGAAAAGGAGAGAGCAGAGCAGACCTTTCCATGGACCCAGGCATCCTGCTTACACTGCTGGCAGAAAGCAGGCATCTGCCACACTCTCACCTTCAGGCAGGAACAGCTTGAATCCCACGAGGTCATCTGGATAGGGCACCTCTGGAGTGGCTGGCCCCCTGTCCTGTGGGTCCTTGGACAAGGGCTTATCACACAAGACCAGGGTTGTGAATACTCTGCTGGTGGAGTTCGAGGAGACCTAGGGGTGGTCAGAGACCAGGAGAGAGGGGGGCATGAGGAGTAGACATCAAGAGACCAGATAGATACCCACCCTTGGGCAGGAATCAGGAAGCAACCATGGAGAGCTCACCAGTAGGGAGGGGCGACCAAGTCAAGTGATCAGAGCAGACTTCTTAGGGAGTGGGAGGAAGGAGTGAGCATGATGTGGTGGTGATGGGAAGGGAAGGGGTGAAAAGGAGGGCAAGGGGGGAAAATGAGGGCCCTGTTGTGATGCAACCTGCCCCTGGCCAAGTAGGGAAAAGGAGAGAGGGCTTGCTCCCTCCCACTCTCTGGGGTCCAAATTCCCATCACCCTCACCTGTAGGATCACTCCCAATGCATTGTGATGCTCCTGATTCTTCACAACCACCACCCTTCCTGCTGAGAGAGACTTCAGCCCGTTCACAGACTCCATGATGTGCCGCTGAAGAGCAGGGATGCACGCAAAGGACAGATGGGAGGAGGCATCATGGGGACAGACACTTAGGCTAAGTTTAGCCAAAGCTAGAATGACACAATGTCTTCCTCTCTTTTCCTTTCACCTCAACACACA